ATGTGACATCTTTGTTCCTTACTGTAAGTATTCAAATTCGATGACGAGGAACCCACTTTGAGACTAATAATGGCTGGAGACGGCTTGAATGGGTAATGAAGAAAAACTTTAATGCAACAGCAAATGTACAACGTTTCGACAAGGTTTTGTCATCATCCTCACGTTGTACATTTGCTGTTGTATTAAAGTTTTTCTTCATTACCCATTCAAGCCGTCTCCAGCCATTATTAGTCTCAAAGTGGGTTCCTCGTCATCGAATTTGTAGACAGAAGAAATATCTTTTTCAAAAATCTCTGACCGTGTTGTATATTAATAATTCAAATGCAATAAAAATAAACACACAGCAAAAAGTTTGGCTAACGCACCCGATTCCAGATGTAATTGAGTGTAAAAAATCCACCCCTTTTCAATTTTCAAATCTCTAGGTGAACAGATATTTCAATTAAACACAAACATTTGCGATAATGATCCTGATGACCTGATTAAAAAAAAGATCTCTGTACAAAGTAAGCTTCTTTCTTGCAGTAGAAATATGTTGAAAATAATATTTAATTTGATACATGTAGAAAAATAACGAAAATAAAAAAATCAAGATTGCATAGCACCTAGCTAATTAACTCCCATTAAATAAAACGACATTAAATTCAAAAGTGGTGGCGTAACAACAATCGGTTTCGGTGATTCGATTGAATTGTTTTGTGATATACCTATACTTCATTTTACACTTTGTAATACTGCTTTATAAATTACGACTTATAATTATTAGGAGCACATAGACACACACACAAAAAAAATCCAAAGTAAAGAAGATAGGGTGTTGCGCTACTGCTCAAAAGCATTATGAGATTGTTTGTTGTTAAATTTCGTGCGAAGCTACTCGAGAGCTACCTGCGCTCGCCATCCCTAATTTTGAGATGACAGACTAAAGCGACGTCAATTGGTCAACAACACCCACTAATAAATTGTGGGCTACTCTAATTAAGTAGTGGGATTTGATCGTCACTTTTATACCGCACCCACAGTCCTACAGTGTTGAGTGTGAATTATAATATCCTGTGCCCACCGAGTTTACGTTGTTTAAACAATACAGCCGACTAATGTTAAGAGAGAACGAAGGTTCCCAAATGACGTTGTCTACTGTGTGTGTTTTATAGCAAAGCCACAGCAAGCTATCTGCTGTGTCTACAGAGGGGAATCGAACCCCTTATTTTAGCGCTTTAAATTCATAGACTTACTGCTGTTCCACCGGTGGGTACCGCTGTCGACTGGACCAAGAAACAGGTTTATCTGTTCAATTCATGCACGTTTTCTTGGTTGATTTATTTTTAAGATCATCGTTCATTGACGAAAGGTTTCTCCTGAGAGAGACAAATCTTTGGAACTAAGCACATTACAATAGAAGCGACTGTGATTCCGTCTGCTGAAGTAAAAAGTTTTCGTTTTACTAATATTAAAATTAAGCTATCACATTAAGAATTACTCTTATGAATTGGGCGAATCAGCTCTTATTAGCGGCTCTCTCTGTCTGATATTTGTCGATAAAAGTTTTACTTTAAAATATCTCATTGTTTACAAGTTTGTTTGTTTATTTTTAATTAAGCACAAAGCTACACAATGGGTACCACGGGTATCGAAACCCGGTTTCTAGCGTTGTAAATCTGCGGACATGCCGCTGTGCCACAAGCAAAAAATTTCTTATTTTGACCTCAACATCAGCTTCATACTTTAGATATGTGTATCAGTTAATTATGGCCCAATTTAATTAGCTTAGCTTTTAAGACTAATTAAACGTACGGAAGAAATAATAAACTTTATAAATAATTTTATTAGTCTGATTCTAGTCTTTATTAACTGTTATTCTACCCGACTTTCCTCGAGTGATTAACGAGAATAAGTGACGGTCCGTCGTTCTTTAAGCAAGTTCACACAGTTTTTTTTATTTGTGTTTAATAAAGCTTATTTTCGTTATTTGTTTGTAACCACAAAGCTTCACAATGGACTATCTGTGGCTGTGACTTCCACGGGTATCGAAACCAGATCTTTCGCATCATAGGCCTTCGGGGGCTAAAGATAATTTCCATGGTGTTTTACACTCTGCTTATTCTTGAGCACTCACTCAGCCACTACAAATTCCATATCCTGCTCAATTCTTTTGTTTGGTGAATGTATCTGAGATAGCTCACCTGAGAATACTACATATAAAGAGCAGTCTACTATAGACTTAGGATAAGAATATTTATATTCTCGCTCCAGAAGGGGTGAGGGGGATTGTAATCGGGGCCTTGTGCGTGTTTCCGCGCGAGTATCTCGAAAACTAATAGTCCTATGTACACAATATTGGATATCAGTATGGGACAGTTCTCCCCAAATTTGTTCTGGATCCGTAGTCTGGGGGCCTGGTGGTTAGGGTGCTCAACTCACAATCTGTGGATTTGAATCCTCGTCCCACTTAACATGCTCACCCTTTCAGCTGTAGGGTGTTATAATATGACAGTCAATCCCACTATTCGTCGGTAAAAAGAGTAGCCCCAGAGTTGGCGGTGATGACTAGCTGCCTTCCCTAGAAGGCGACTAGTCATCACCACCCACCGCCAACTCTTTTACCAACGAGTTGGCGGTGGGATTGTCTATATCGTTATAATGCCACAACTGAAAGGACACACATGTTCGATGACAGGGATTCGAACCTACGACTCGCAGAGTTAAAGCTAACCCTAAAAAGACGACAGAAGGAAATGAAAACACAAAATTTAACAATATTTTTTTGTATTCAATTTATTAAGAGAAGAGTTGTTAGAAATTGAACATTTTCCAAATACTTAACTAATCTTTATTTTAATATATAATTATTAGCTTATAGGGTGTCTTGTGGACTTTGAGGCCCACACGAATTAATTTACCTGACAGTTTCTCTGACTAAGAATCCAATATCATGTCATAAAAAAAAAGGGGGTGGGGTGGGAGGAAATAATGACTTTCCTTGGCATACACGATACAGTTTTGACAAGTTAAAATTATCTTAACTTGATATTACACTGTATCTTAATATTTAAAACTATTACTTGGACAAGTTGGTTCACAATTTGTTTTTTTTTATGAATATATTTTCAGGTTTTCTGTCATTACACGTAAAACCACAACTTACAATTTTAAGGTTTCCTCATTTGTCACGTAGAGTACAACACTCACAAGTAAAACCCGAGAAACAATTAAACTGTTTTTTTCAGTACATTTTGTCACTTGTAGATAGTTCAATCGCTACGTACTTTACAACAAAATTCGTTGATATTAAAATTTAAAAAATTCCTTTTGATAATATATGTATATTGCATACAGTTGCAAATCCTAGGCCTAACTGTTCAATGTCTGTTATTGATCTTTAAATGTGCATAAAGTTCCTCAAGAGCTCTCCGTGCTAGTCATTCATAACTTTGAGGTGACAGATGGAAGGCGGTGGCAGCTAGTCAACACCACCCACTACCAACTCGGGGTGTTACCGATCCCATTATGGGATTTGCCAATCATTCTTACGATTCAATCATGGGCCCAAAGTTCAGAGTATGGTTTTTGTTTTCAGGCAACAAGATCCAATTTTACTTTCACATTAGTTTATAAGTTAAACACAGTCTGCATCTTTACTGGATACATACATATTTTATGTTTTAAATTTCCGAATAAGACACTTATTTTCATAATGACTGTTTTTAATTTTCTCTAACGAGAACAATTACTTTTTCATGAAGTACAAAAGCTGATATTTTACTCTTTAAATTTTTTTTTTTTTTTGTTTCAGCATTATACATGATCACAATAGAGAAATAGGCTTTGTCACAGTTGGACAATGTTTCTAATTGCTTCTATTCTAAACACGATTAGGTATCTATCAGGTTGTGTGAAAATCCTAAGTTGTAATAGTAACTGAAACAGTTCACCCATTTCTTTTTTGCTAGAAACAAAAACAATATCTTACATACAACTTTTATTATTTTGATAAAAAAAAAAATTCTGATAAATTTTGAGGCCATTCCTGTTTCTGACAAAATTGCTTTGAGCTTTAGAAAATCATTTTGCTTAAATCTATCAAGAGCATTCTGGATAGAAATAGGTCGAGATACATTTCAGCCAGGTATCCCACCTTACGACCAGATATTGAAAACCTGTTAGTTTAAACAAAATATGTATTACTTCTAAACCAGTTTCTCTACTGCTGGTCAAGTCCAATATTACACTTCTTTTTAATACAGTTCTCACATGTATTGATGAGAAGTGGAATTTGACAGATCCTAACTGAAACCAAAACCATATTTCTAACTTAGTAAACACAAATAAATGAAAAGCAGTGTGCCTTAGGGTATATTTTCAATTAATTAATTCTAGTTTTAAAAATGTTGCTAAAAAATCAACTAAATGGAGATCCTGAATATCTACCCAAAGGATTCACCTCTAATTTGTTTAAATCATAATAAATTCTTGAAACTGTACAAATATCATTCAACTATGTGGTTGCGATTATCTTGTCTGTTCTCCAATGAATCTACAAGACAACAAGTAAGTAACAGGAACCTTTAATTTACTATTTTGCATAACAGCTGGCTCTTGGACATTCAACTCCTCTTAAAAGCTAGCAAGTGTGATAGATCGTAAACTTTTCTTACTACAAACGAGGCCATTCTGTATTAAATACATACACAATGTATCAAGTATGTACACTTCCCATAACTGTTAATATAAAAATTGATTCGAAGTAATAATTTAAGAAATCAACAAGGTTTGATATGACAAATGAAATCAAAAACCTTTGTCCAATTATTACAGGTGAGTAAAATTTTAAAATAAGGTTTTTCATATTAGGCAGGCTCTTTAGAGCTCGAAGAAGCCAGTTTGACGATTCAAGTAACTTCAGATAGCATAAGCATACTTTGGATACAACAAGAGAGTTTATATATCATAGTACCTAATGTTGTATCGTATTCAAGTTATTATCTTCAACACCAACAATGTGTGTATGCCTTTTCATCCACCAATCACCATCCTTGTATACATATATATATATATACATAGTAAACACACGAGCCCATTAATGTCGGTGTCTATATACTATAGTTACACCTTTCCTATTAGTAGTGTTTTTTTTTCATGATCCACTATCAACAAACCAAAATGATATTCAAAATATAGACGAATAAAATAAGACCACACAGACGTTTCCCAAATTTAAATTTCAGTATTTAAGAACCAAACTGTCAAAACTTTCAGTGATGGCACTTCAGAACACAAATTATGTAGCTTATCTGAAATTATACATCTTATTAAAATATTACTTTTTTTTTTGTACATCTAATCACATTTCTAAGATATCTAGATAATTTTTATTTTCATAATTTGAATTATCTTTTTATTTGAAGACTGGGCAGAATCAAATAAAGCTTACAACTTAAAATTATAATACAGATAAAACGTATCAAGAATTATATTTCAACTTTTCGTGAAGAGAACACTATATAATTAGGTCGTGTGTCGAGGTAGTACATAAAGAAAACAATAAGACATCTGACTTTCGAAGACCTTGATTCCATAAATCATCACGCAGTAAGAGCATGCACAAATCAACACATTATTGTACTTAAAGTGGACTTTGAAAATTAAAAATGTTTCTTTAAATTTTAGGGCTCACATAAAAAAAAAAATATTTTTTTTTCTTCCTGGAATTAGTATTAAACTTCCAAGTATGCCACACAAGGGCAGAACAACCTCTGTACATGAGATGAAGAAATTAATTTGAATAATCTCTCACGGCTAGTTATATACACCGAAAATATCCTTAACACCTATCTAATCACACCCAATAACAGTTACACCTTTTTAGTGTTTGTTATAAATAGAAGCTTTCCTGCAAACAAGACAAATTTGCATCCTTTGATAAGCCACAAGGTTACTAAAACCTTTTACAAGTGTTTTGAATATCACACTTGCTACATCTAAGATAGCCAGTAGGATGTGGCTATCTTCCCTTCCAAATACAACACAGGAATGCCCAGCAGGTTGGTGTTCATACTGCATGGCTGGCTGCAGAAACACTACTTTTGGCAACTGAATAACATAAGAACATCGGATGGACTTTTTTAACCCGCCTTCATTTATTCCAGTGACGACATAGGGGGGAAACTACTGGTACTTGTGTGGTTTTCATGACGAAAGCAAACCACGCAGCTACACCATCAGGAGTGGTCTGCATTCGCTTAATGAAAGGATGCTCCTGGAATAAAGTAAAGATATTGTGTTATACCCATGTAAGACATACTAAACACATTAAGTAAAGATACTGTGTTAAAACCCATGTAAGACATACTAAACACATTAAGTAAGGAAACTGTTAAACCCTAGTGTGACATTATCCACCACCCCTCCAGTAACCACAAACTTAAACATAAATTACTCGCTATAAAGTCATCATTGCTCAGACAAACCATAATTTTTATAGCTTTCAATTTTGTTTGGTTACAAAGCTATGACTTAGAAAATCAGACCCCTCCTACCACACCCACCTGTCACATCCTCTGTTTCACCATTTAACAATTCTCTCTTTCATGATTTATCAGTTCTCTCTTATATTTAATTATATATTACCTATAATCAATCGAAAGCCAAGGTTTTCATATATCAAATGATGTATTTTATTACATTGTGATCTGAACAGGTAATTGTCAAGTTCACTTTTCATTCCCACTGGAACAGTAACAACTAGCTTGAATGAATTTGTAACGGCTCTTGTTACATAGTTAGAAAGCAACACAAATTGTGGTTGTTAGTGGAAATTGTCTACTTTGCATGTTATTATTCTATGTTCTTTGGTTCACTATTTAATTCAATAAAATATATTTAATGCAATACTACCATTAGTATAAAAAAGTAGGGTTAACTGTCATTAATAGTCGACAGCAAAAAAAAATACTTGGGTAAGTACTTTACTTCTTGTTTTTCTATATATTCTTTATTTATTAGTATAAAAGTAAGTAAAATGTAAAAATTGGGATCTCTAAGTTAGTTAAGGTAAAATAAATAATAATATAATAATTCATGAGGCATACACATGAGCAGCTCGAGGTAGCTTGTGGGTAAAGTAAATTGATAGTGTTAAGTGAGCTACACATTCCCCAAGTCATTACAACTTATAATGGCACAAATAGTAGTTAGACACAGTTCAAAGGGCCACCAAAAGGGCAAAAAAACAACAACAATAAA